AATGGTCTTTTACCCTTATAAGGAATTATGAGGGGGATTAATCTAGCCTGTAAGAGCCATTGTTAATTAAACGAAAATTGTTTATGTGATTAGGCGGAGGCTAGATCAGTATTCGAGTTCGAGATTATCCTAGTTACCCGAGGTGAGTCTTCTCACTATACCTTACCTTGGGAGGTAATTATGTGTGACCGGAAGGTCTTATGTGATATGACAAGTATGTGTTATATGTCTCTATGTGATATGTATATGTTATGTATGTTATGAGTAGTATGGTATGGGCCGGAAGGTCAACAGGGTATGGACCGGAAGGTGAGTAGTAGAGGGACCAGAAGGTCAAGATGGTATGGATCGGAAGGTCAACGAAGTAAGACCGGAAGGTCTACTCAGATGATGGGACCAGAAGGCACCTGAGACACATTGACCGGAAGGTCTCGTAGAGCTATAGCCTCGAGTGGCTTATGTGATGTATGTATTATTTTGGAAACTTACTAAGCATCTATGCTTACCGTGTTATGTGATATGTGTTTCAAGTACCAGCGAGGATCACGGGAAGGCACTGACATGATGTGTACACACTGATGGAGTATTGTGTATTATGTATCTTAGATTATGGGATATGTTTTTATTATGATAACATTCGATACATTTGAGTTTTGAAATTACTTTATGAGATGTGTTATGTTTTAAAAATGGAAAAAAAATTGTTTTGGAAATTTACGTCGTTACAGATGATCTTATGGATAGCGCTATTAGGGGTCGACAACCCCCACTCACTCATAACCGCGAGTGCATATTTCCATGAACTGACATCATGGGAACCATATACATGATGGAATGGGGCAGGAACGATCATTAGACTTGGGTTGTGAACTCATGAATGGAAACTTGATGCACATACGAATCTTATATCGTATTTTAGTAACGAAACTTGTATACTCATTTTAGCAACGAAACTTATATACTCATTTTAGCAACAAACTTTGTTTCTCATTATAACAACAAACTTTTATTACTAGAAACTTATATACTTGCTTTAGCAATGAAAATGTTTGCTCCTTGTAACAACGAAACTTGTTTGCTCATTGTAGCAACGAAACTTGTTTGCTCGTTTTAGCAACAAACTTTATTTCCCATGAGAATATGAACGTTGCATGTCCTGTGGGCAACATACTTTATCTCTCATGATGACAACGAACTTTGTTTATGCAAACTTATTTACTTATTTTGGCAATATATTTTTATTCGTGGAAACTTTTTGCAAATTTTTGATTTCGATTAATGAAACCAATATATATATATTTTAAATATGTGAGTACTCACCAACTATTCTTATAGTTGACACTTGTTTTACATGCTTTTTTAGGAATCATCTAGTAAGAGGCACATAGAGACACAACACTTGTAGGAGCATTTACATGTGTTGACTTTTAAATACATTGTAATCTCTTTTAAAAAATTGTTCAAACTCATTGTAAATTTGTAATGATTTTTAATATTATGGTTGGTGTTGTCTTTTAACTTTTGCTATGAGACCCTTTGTACTGCCACACCCCATATTTCCGCTTTAGCGGGGTGTGACAGTTTCTCCCAGGGTCCGCCTGTCATTGGGCCCCGACTGCTATACACATACAAACAATATCATATAATCATGCTAGCACATAAGGAATCATACACAATACTATATGTTCCAGTCCTAAGTCCTCACCTATCATGGGCCCCACCCCTACTCTGCTAATGATAAGATATGGAACCCCGTCCACACTCAACTAGTGATGAGATACGGGACCCTACCCACACTCACCTACCTACCACGCACATACAAGTATCAAAAGGCAACAAGTATAACTAAACATGCACATAGTCATTGAGTACCACCCGAAATCGAACCGTATTCCGGAATCATACATATAAACATTCCTCGGACTTCGCCCAACATCAGACTGTAATCCGGAAGCATACATACATTCCTCGGACATCGCCCCGCATCAGACCATAATCCAGAAACATATAAACATAAATACAGTTCGGCATTGGTGCCTTCGACCCATTCATATAAGAGGAAACTCGCCTCAAATGTTGAAACTCACTGTAAGAAATCATTGGATGCAGCCATGCCGACTCCCTAGGCTATCAATACCAAAATGTCACCGAATTAGCAAGTAGGTTCTAAACCATGTTCCGTAACCCTTAATTCGGTTGAAATGACCGTTTCACCCATGGCCCAAAAAGATTCACAACCAAGGCCCAAAACTATAAAATCCATATAAACCCATTAATGACTCAATTTTCCAAATTGACCCCAAACCTTTACGTGGGCCTTTCTTTAAAGCCCATTTACTTTTTTGAACCAATGATTTTCCAATGGCCCAAAGGTCCAAGCTCATTGGTCCCAATCAATGCCTAACTACATTGGGCCCATTAAGGCAAATTCATCATCCAAGGCCCATTAGGGAAAGCCCAGCAAGGCAAGCCCAACCAGAAGTCCATTACTCTAAAATCCTTAGTCCATTATGAGCCCAAACTAAAGGATAAGTCCAATACCAAGCTAACCCACAATAAAAGAGCCTAAAACCTGCACACGTGATGCTCACGTCTTGAGCACCTTATACTCACTTCGTGAGATTGTGACTTTGGCCTAGAAAATTCCTCCAACACGCTCTCACGTCGTGAGGCTTCATTCCTCGCGTCGTGAGTCCGGATCTGACCAAAAATGAGCATTAAGCTCCTCATCCGTTAAGCCTTAATATGGGGCAGTCTAGAGGGTCTTCCTTGACCCCAAGGACTATAAAAATCGAATCTTTCCAGTCATATATGTCCAATACATGACTTAAACACCAACTTAGATCAAAATGAATGAAAAAGGGCAAAGACTCAAACTTGGAGTCCAAAACCATGACCAAAGTCCAGATCTATAACATATAGGACTTAAGATACCACCATGATCCATAAAGTGGCCAACTTTATGGATCTCATGCATGCTAACCAACATTACAAGCCATGAAATGCATGGAAACTTAGATTTAGTAAGTAAGGAAAGGAAAGACATGAGCTTGAGGACTTACAAAGGTCCAAAAGCTCCATAACTAGCTGATGATGAAGCCAATATGGTAACAAATGCACCACCAATGATCTTCTTCTTCCTCAAAGGGCTTTAAAGCCTCAAAATCTCTTGAATAACACCAAGAATGACCAATAACATCAATGGGGGCTGAGATTAGGGTTTCTAGAGGTCTTGGGAGTAAAAGAGGCCGACGAGAAGCAACCCTAATCATCTCACACCTTTAAATACCCGAAAATTAGGGTTTTGGTGCATCAGTCGCTCCTCACATCGTGAGCATGTCATGCTCATGTTGTGAGCCTAAAATGTTCTTGGTTAACAAGTCAACGATCACTCACCCAAACCACTCCAACTTCAAAACGGCCATAACTTCTTCGTTTAAACTCCGTTTTTGACGTTCTTTATATCCACGGAAAGGTGGCGAAAAGCTCTACACACCTATCAACTTATCCTCACCTTAAAACATTATGAACAAAAATCCAAAATTCGTAAAGAGTTCGAACTGCCACTTTACCGACATACCCCTTGGCTCCAAGGCACAACCCAAACTCCTGGATCACCTCAATTACATTATTTGTACCTAAATGGGTCTAGATCCCTCTTTTCCAAAGGTCCTAAGCCTTATGATAACCTATCATCAGGCCACAATCCCGGATTAGGAAAACAGTTCAAAACAGGGCGTTACAATATAAAGAAGTGTTTCAAAATTTATGAAATAAATGGTATTTTTTTTTTGTATTTATGATATTTTTGTTTATTATTTACAATACATATTTATTCCTCATTTTGAGTTGTAATTTATGTTTTTCATTTCGTGTTAATGTTTGCTTTTACGTTACCTTACTTTTAGGATTTTAAATAAAACAATGTTATTATCATATATGATTGTCTTGGTTCTTTTTAGTCTAATAAATTTATATTTTATTGTAAAACATGATTTTTTATTTTTGACCTTGAGTTAAAGAACACTGCTAATGTTTTGAAACCATTTTAAATATGAATTAAAAATAACGATAATATACTTACTAACAAAAAATACAATGTTGTATAGAAATAACTATTGTAAATGTGTGATTAATTATCAATTCCTACAAAACCACCAAAAACGTTCTAGTAATGTTACTTGGTAATATTGACCATATAAAAGGATTGTGCAATAGTACTAGATTACATATTGTTAGGTTTAGAAGACATGTCATTAAGCCGAGATCATATATGATAAATTCTTCAGTGAGACTACTAGTATATTTGTATATGTTTCCCCTTATTTTATGTGGGGCATAATCCAGTATTAATTAAACTACATCAGATTAATGTTAAACTCTTTCAACCTGTTTACTGTTTTAACACAACACAAACTCAATGCGACATGACACGTTTGTCATCTCTACATGTGAGTGAGACAATGAAACAAAACGACTACTAATCTTAGATTAAAACAACAAAATCAAATGCTTTTTTACCAGTGGCCACTAGATTTAGGGATCCCACCATATTCTCAAACCTAGTGGTGCGGTTGATTGGAATTTTTCGGGCATACGAGAAAAGAGTCGCAACGAGCATATTTGTTTGCTAGTTTCTTCATCCCTAAAATCTTGTACTACTAGGATTGAAATTTTAAAGCTTGTTGAACTCCATTTAATGAAATTATCAAACCACAAATATCATTTTTGCACTTTTCTCTAAATTTGTTATATGGTTTGATTTCTCAATTAAAAAAAAAAAAACAAAGTACGTTAAGAAATATATTTAACCGTGATCAAGAAAATAAACACTTCACATCGTTATGATTATAAACAAGATCATTTCTTAATTACTAAGATATTAAAAATATATATAAGCCTATAATTAGTTAAATACTGTACTAGTTGTATATTATAATTCTAATGAGAACATAAATTCAAGTAAATCTATGAATCACCACCGCAATCCATTAAAATAAAACCCTTTTGTACCTCTTCTTCCCATCTCTTCAATTTCCATTTTGTTTCTTCTTCCTCAAATTCCCAATTGAATTGCAGAAACTCCATATGGGTCTTTCATTAACAACCCCTCTCTTCCTACTCGTACTCTCCATCTGTTCTTCAACTTCTTCCTATGCAGACCTCACAACCTTCGTTTACAAAGGCTGTGCTAACCAAAAATTTCAAGACCCATCTGGTATCTCATCGCAAAACCTCAAATCACTCTACGCTAATCTCATATCCCAATCATCCACTACCAATTTCTACAACACCACCACCGGAAATGCCCAATTAACAACCTCCATCACTGGAGTTTATCAGTGCCGAGGAGATTTATCCAACTCTGATTGCAACACATGCGTCAAAAAAATCCCTGAAACAATTGAGAAAGTATGTGGTGGAGATACAATCGCCGCCAGAGTTCAGCTAGATGGATGTTATATGAGGTATGAAGTTGTTGGGTTCCCGCCGGCGTCAGCAACGGAGCTGCTGTATAAACAGTGCGCGTCGAATCGGGCGAGTGGGTCTGGATTTGATGAGAGGTTGGAATCGGCGTTGGAGCAGATTGAAAAGGGGATTGGGAACGGGAAAGGGTATTACGCTGCAGAGTATCAATCGGTTGCTGTTTTGGGACAGTGTGAAGGCGATTTGGGGAACGCGGATTGTGTGAACTGTGTGAAAACTGCGGCGGAAAATGGAAGAAGTGCGTGCGGGAGTTCACTTTCCGGTCGCATTTATCTCCAGCAGTGTTACATCGGGTACACATATTACCCAAACGGAGTACCCGGATCAGGTAAATTCATCTCACCGGAACTCTCTATCAGCTCAATCCAATACTGTTTTATTGAAAACGACTGGAAACGAATCGTATCAATAATCACCTGAAACCGCGACACGTACAGAGTCAAAAGTGGGATCTGCGATCTATGATCCGATATAGTATCTGGATTTTTGTTTTTTTTCTTCAAGTTTTACTGATAAGTTTGTGGGTTTGGTATGTTGATAGGGACAGGTAGTGGTGGTGGAATAGATACAGGGGTGATGGAGACAGGTGGCGGAGGTGGGCGGCACAATACCCAGAAGACGGTGGCGATTGTTATCGGGGGGTTAGCGGGATTGTTTCTGGGGATTGCTTTCTTGCTGGTTTTGAAATCGGCTTTCAAGAAGAAAAAGGACAAGTACTCTCATGGCCATGGAGGTCGGTCGGTTTCTTTCTTCATTACACATTCATGGTGGATTAAAGAAATCTTAAAAATTCCACTTGTCAGATTTGGCACTAATTATGTTTTCACTAACTAATAAATTAAACATCATCTTTTATTCTGTTAGGGCGTCGGTTAGGAATGTGCAATTTCAGAAATGATAATTGTTAATTCAATAATAAAAAAAGGGATTAATAGTTTTTCTAACGGTTGTTGATTAATAATTATAAATATGCTAATTTATATTAAAAAATATATATATGTATTACATATATGTAAACAGTTTTAAAATAAAATATTGTTTTTTATACCAATAAAGCATATGTTAAAAGAGTGGTTTGTTTAATAATGTAGGTTACTGAAAAAGGAGAAGATAATGGTGAATTATTTTTGGAGCTTTCTAAGTGGATGATGTAAAGACAATGACAAAGGACACTTGCTTTTTTCTGTTTGTTTTTATATCTTTTACAGTTTTATATTTTTCGTGTAACTTTTTTGTTCAAATTTATCCCTTTTCTTGGATAAAAGATTATTTGTGTACCCCCATCTTTTATCCAAATTATTTAACATGGTACAAAAACTATATTACTATTACTATAGTAGTAAGCAGTAACTTAACGACTTGTATGTTTTATTATTTCTTAAAAGATACAAATATATATATATATATATATATATATATATATATATATATATATATATATATATATATATATATATTATTGTATCTGAACACTCAAAACATTATGCATCACCACCACCACACTATTATGATATTATCAAATGGGGGCTCAAAAATCTATGCAAATCAAATCAAGTTTTTGGATATTTTATTCGTGGGAACAACTTTTGGGACAAATATGACTTATGAGTTGTTTTGTTGGTAGTTTCTGGACAGAATTCATGGGCATTGATTGAAGAGCATGGCGAGTTGAGGTACAAGCCTTCTATGCCTTCCATGTGTTTGATAAAATGCATGTATGAAATTTAGATCAAGTTTGACAACCCTGATGAAATTTACATCCTTATATGTAGTGATTGTTTCTGTATTTAATGATATAAACTACTAAAATGATTATGGTTTATAGTTTAGTGACTGAGTTAAGTTTGATTTTATGTCTGGGTTTGATCTATAATCCTATATGAATTATGAAGAGAGAAATAAAAAAAAAAAAGATGCCAACCCATTGAGTTCATTCATTTGTTCATGCCTTTGAACCCAAGTCAAGTAACTCTAACTAACTTGTCATATTGGCACATGCATGCATTAAGAATCAATTCCTCTTAGCTTCCAAGTCAAGCAATAAACACAATATAAACCTGAAATTCTACCTTTTTCCCTTTCAATCTGAATTGAGCTCTTTCCTCTTCACTTGCCCACAAAACTCTATATTCATCTCATACTTCTCTGAAATTTGAAATAAACAAGAAGCACATCAATCAAGTAAGTTTGTGTGATTTATGTTATTGCTTTTAGCTTGTTAGATTGAGGAAACTGTATTCAATAAGAAGAAAACGTTCTATAATCTATACTAAGCACGTTTCCAACATTTGGATTTGTGTTTCAATTTTGAATAAAAGTGTATCCCAAGGTGGTTGTCAAAGAACAAGTCCATGATCATGTTGAATCGCTTGGTATGTTTATTTTCATTCATTTGCATCCTTTTTTTTATTATTAATTTACTAATTTTCTGGTGCTTTTTTATTTATTTGATATTTTGATATTTTACTTGTTATAATAGAAGGTCTCCGTTATCTTGTTCATTTTGGAGTAGAAAACGTAGCCCCTGATGAATCTTATGCAAAAACAAGGCAAATTTGTGTGTCAAAATTGGCAATGCGAACTTTTCCCATCGCAAAAGGTTGCAATTTCTATGCCAATAAAGTTTCTCACAACTTTTTTTATTTTTATTTTAGTGTCATCAAAATATTCGATATTAACATCTTTGATAAAAATTCAGGGTCGGGAAAGATAGAACATCGTGAAATTAAGGACGTTGATCATGTAGTTCAACGTCCTCGAGCAGTATTATCTAGTCCCGGTACATTTCCCTTGAACAAACCTTTTAGGATGAGAAGGACGTTTACGTTTTTTGTATAGATGAAAAGATCGACTTATTCCACATTTTTTGTGTGGGACAAGAAATTTGTAGTTTTTGTTTCTTTAACATCAATCTAAATGTAGTACAAGGTTGTCAAGTTCTAGAACTATCATGTCTTTTATATCAACTATATAAAAGCGTCAGTTTTGTGCTAGAGGATGAGACATTTTCTTGTTTGTTTACCATGCAGATAATGACTATTTGATTGGGAAGATGAACGAGAAGGCATTCAAACGGGTTTCTACTCCAAAACCACATGCTTCTGGGAAAGTTAATGTGGTTCATGTTGACGTTGGGAAGGCACGTGTTACACTTCGTGGTACAAACCCAACCTTTGGTGTACAAAATCGTCCCAAGATAAAAGACCACAATAGACCGTCAATTTTAAAAGATAAAACATGCATAACAAAACTAAAATCATAAATTTATAAGACATTGTGATTGATTTGCTTATAAATTTAATTTTATTGACTGCAACGATTGGTGTTTTTTCCGTGTTTTCTCATTTTTTTTATGATTGCTGAGAAACTTGAAATAAACATGTAACCCGGTTTTAAAATATCTTTCGCGTAAATAAACAAAATTTCAAAATAATACCCTTTGCATCGTTCCCGAGAGCTATACTATGGATGTGACGGGTTAGGGTTGTCTATAAATTCAAGACAAAACTGCAAATTTGATCCTTGTGGTTTGCAAAAAACTTTGGATGGGTCTAAAAAGTTTTCAGCTTGCATAGAAGGTCCAAAATCAATGTTTTTCTGGGTTTTTGGTCCAAAAAAATTTGAAATTACCAATTTACCCTTTTAGTTTTAGTTTTGTATTTTCTTTTCTTATTTAATTTAATAATTTATGAAAAAACAAAAAACAAAAAAGATAGATACCCACTCCACCTCTACCAGTACTCTCTCTCTCTCTCTCTCTCTCTCTCTCTCTCTCCAAAACCCATCTTCATCATTCTTATTTTTAGAAAAATTGAATATCACCATTACCATCTGAATAATATGAAGATCTGGGAACCAGATGAAGATGAAGAAATCAGGGGAAAGATGAAGATGAAGATCTTGTGTTCATCTCATAGCTAATACAAAAATCCAGAATTCAGGGGATAAAAATTGATTTCTTACCTTCAAACACAAACATGCACATACACTCTATAAATCAAGAACCCTTTCAAATTCTCTCAAAATTTCATCTGTTTCTTCACTCTTTCTTCCAATAGGATCAAAAATTTCATCTGGAACAGCAATAGATGATAAAAAAATCATAAGCACCCATCTTGGGTTTACTTTGTGATTGAACAATAAGAGGGAACTCACATACATTGTGTGTCTGTATCTGTGTGTGTGATAAAGATAACAAAAAGACGAATGATGGGATTAAGAAAGGGCTAACACCACTCTCGCATCACTGCTCCTCAATTGCTAACCAGATTGATTTCCTAAAATTGATCTTTGTTTGGATCGATCATCAAGAGGTTGAGCAAATGGGATAAGTCATTCCAAGATCTGGGTTTATTCCTCCATTGTAAGAACTCATACAGAGGGTCGATGATGGTTTCGTTGGGGTTGTTGACGGAGAAATCATGGAGACTGGGTTTCTATTTATGGCCTCAGGCGTTGTGAAGGATGCAGTCGAATGTAGCTTGATCTGTGGGTGATTCTGAAATGTCTGGGTGGTTGAGGGTGATGATTTACCGATGACGTTGGTTGTGTAGAAGATGAGATTGAGAAGAAGATCTGATTTTGGACCTTCCGTGCAAGTCGAAACCTTTTTGGACCCTATCCAAAGTTTTTTACAAACCACAAGGACCAAATTTGCAGTTTTGTCTATATTCAATCTCGATATATAAGAGAATATGATTGAGCTCAATTTGAAGGTTCATTGATTGTGGTTTATTGATTGCAGACACGATCTTGAATTGGTTGAAAATATCCATTTGTATATTTAATTGGATTCATTGATGTGTTTGCACTTTCTTTTGTAAGTAAACCTTGTATCTTGTCCTTCATTTGGTTTCTTGCTAGGCGTGAGTATTTTTTTTTTAATATATTTGTCAGATTCAAAAAGAATATATATATATATATATATATATATATATATATATATATATATATATATATATATATATATATAGAGAGAGAGAGAGTAAATTACTTGAATGGTCCCTATGGTTTAAAGAAATTTGCGCGTTTGGTCCTGAACTTATTTTTTTTAACTCGAAAGGTACATATTGTTTGTTTTCGTTACGCGCTTGGTCTCTAGCTTACTTAAAAAGACTATTTTACCCTTGATTTTTTTTATTTATTTAAATAAATGGACCATCAACCACACCCCTTTCACATTACCTTATCCCACCATTTTTTCATATTTAAATAATAATCTTTTAAGGTAAAACAGAAACTAAGCGCATAACAAAAATAAACAGTATGGACCTTCCGAGTTAAAAAAATAAGTTAGGGACCAAGTGCGTAAATTATCCCAAATCATAGGACCATTTGTGTAATTTACTCTCTCTCTCTCTCTCACACACACACACACACACACATATATATATATATATATATATATACACACACACACACACATATATATATATATATGTGTGTGTGTGTGTGTGTGTGTGTGTGATGGTTCCCTTGAGATTAATAAAAAAAATAGAGATTGTGAGATTAAACATTAGCCAATGAAATTTAACCTCAACTTCCGTCAACTGTTAAATGATACAGGGGTATAACAGTAAATTTCAACTTAATGTTTAAAAAGCACACACTTTCATTCTCTAAAAATCATCTTATCCCTAAACCATCGATTCTCAATATCAATCACATAATCATATCATTTAACCTTCAAAAATCATTTAATATCATCTTAAAGTTCCTATTTTTACTGATTCTGTTATCAAATTAATCGCAATATTCAAATAGAAAAACAACGATAGAAACAAATCATCGGTTCATATTTTCACAGATACGAGACATAATCCTCAAATCGAAGAAACAAGCACATCACATTCATCAATGCAATTCAAGAGAGCGACAAAGCATTGAAAATTGAATCAAACTGATGTCGAATTCAAAAGAAATTGGTGAGTCGATCGCAACTGATACTATTGTAGCTGAAATCAATTCATCTCGTAACGACGAACAAATAAATTCAAATTCTTTAACTTCTGAAAATTAACATGAAGAACTTTAAAATACGATTCGTATTGAAGGTACAAATAATTCGTTTAAATACTACATATTACATTACAATTTACAATGTTGATTCTGATTTTTTTTATTCAGTTATAAACAAAAAACATAATTGATCTTGTATTAATAATATACTAGTTGTGTGACCCGTATGTTATACGGGTTGGATAAAACAAAAAAAAAAATTAAATATGAAGGTTTAAACAAAAATTTATATAAATTTGAAATTTGAAATTTAAAATTTAAATTTTGAATTTAAAAGGAAACATATTTAATAGTATATGAGTTGTAATATTATAATTTAATGGTTAGTTTTAAATAAGACAATTATTAATTGAGGTGTAAATATGATGTGTTAATTAAAAAAGATAAATAATGAAAAAATGACACATGGAAAAAACATTTATTCAAAAATACAAAAAAATGACATGTGTCCAAGTTAATGAGAGAGTGACATGTGGTAAAACTATTTTCATTTATTAGGGAGGATTACAGTGTATAATCATAAATGATTATATGTTGTAACTTATGATTGATCATATATTTCAATGTACAAACACATATGATTTAATCATATGTGTTTCTTGTATGATAAATCATATATTAAACTTTATAATCATATATAATTATGCATTGTAATATATAAGAAATCTAACTAATCATACATTATTATACAATATAAATTATGATTAATTGTATATTAGGATGTATAATGATATACGATTATACATAATAATATTTGATTAATCGTATATAACAATTTAAAAAACATATGATTTATCATATGTGTTTTCAAATTGAAATATATATTAATCATATATTAAGATGAATAATCATATATAATTATACATCATCAAATATGATTAATCATATATATATATATATATATATATATATATATATATATATATATATATATATATATATATATATATATATATATAACAAACTATAAATACATATGATTAATCATACTTGAATAAATGGTATCAAATATGATTACCTCTATATTATGACGTATAACCATTTATGATTACACAGTACAATATATGAATAATCATATAAGACATTGTACAGACACATGATTTATCATATGTGATTCCACATTGAAGTATATAATTAATAATATATTAAGATCTATAATCATATATCATTATACATCTTAAAATAAAATTACTATTATCTTAAAAAGTGTAAACGCATATGATTAATCATAAATGATTAAACAAATATAAGATATGATTCCTTATATATTACAATGTATAATCATATTTATCATACATGATTGTGCATTGAAATATGCAACTAATTATATATTATACTCTATAATCATATATGATTATTCATCCTAAAATATAATTAATAATATATTACACTATATAAATACATATCATCAATCACATACGATTATGACATCATAAAATTATATAATAACATATCTGTCATTACCTTTTTTTATCAGGTGGAAGTTCCAATTCAACAAATGAATCATATTGTAGTAACATAATTGAAGAATATAAATATAAACCAGATGTCCATCCAGAATTTGTACGAGTTGTAAACAACATTTTCAAATCACTAAATTTTGCAGTAAAAATGTATACCAATTATGGAGAAATGGCAGGTTTCATACAAGACTGAGTAGCAAATCAAAATACAATAGCCAAATAAAAAAAAACATATATGTTATATGTAATAGGGTGGCAAGGATAAACCAAAACCTTGTGATACGTTGGCTACAAGTTTTGTCAAGAGGAAACCAAATTCAAATAAGATAATTATTTGGTGTACAACAAATATTATATTTGAGAATGTTTATGGAACAACATATTACAAAGTAAAACAACTCTTTAAATTGCACAACCACCAACTGGAAAGTATTGGGGATAGACCTTATATGAAAAAGGCAAGAAAGATGTCATATTCTGAAAAAGAGTTTGTAGTACGTGCATAAGAAGCTAAAATTGGTCCAAAAATGGCTCACAATATATGAGCAGTTTTGAAAAGAGGATGCGAATATGTTGGGGCGAAGGTAACAAATTACAAAACTTTGAGGAGAGGAGTAGATAGAATCGTATGTTACAAGGATGTTCAAATAATGATAAACAAAATGAATGATCGTAAATATCATTACCCAAATTATTCATTTGAGTTCCTACGTGATGGAGATCAGTTGGCTGCCATGTTTCGGGCAGTTGAATGAGAAAAAGCTTTTTTATGAAGATCTTGGCGAAGTTATATATTTTGATGCAACTTTTAGAACAAACAAGTAAGTTAATATATAAAATTTACATAATTTATACATTCATGATTAAAAAAAAGTATACAATTAAATTCAAACATACTATTAATCAAATGTGATTGTACTAAACATATTTTCTTTATACATGTATAAAATTGTATTTGCTCCATTCACAGTCGTTGACCACCACACGAAATCAGTTACTTTTGGCGTTGGGTTGCAGGGTAGAGAGACAATTGAGTCCTATGAATGGCTACTTAAAGATTTTCTTAGAGCTCATGAATGGAAAGCACCAAAATTTGCTATAACTAATCAAGATCTAACAATAAAACAAGCAGTGGAATCTGTCTTACCAAATTCAAGACACAAATTGTGCATGTGGCACATAATGAAACAGCTGCAAGCAAATGTATAATAAAAATAAAACTATAATATAAATCATATATAACTCATATATGATTTATAAAGAAACAATGTAATCATATATGATAAACCATATTCGCTTATAGACTATAGAATATAACTAATAGTATAACATAATATAAATTCATATATGATTAAGTATTCTAATAATATGAATTATCAGATATCATACTTGTTAGGTACAAAGTTATTCATGTATGAATTTGTAAATGGTTTGACTTTTGTAAACCCACTTGTATGTGGTAAAGTAGCCTTGTGACATGAGAGAGGGAGAGAGAGAGAGAGAGAGAGAGAGAGAGAGAGAGATGTAAACACGTTTATATAAGGTAGGTTCATACAACTTGTAGAGGTGCGCTTGAGATATGCAACATTGAGAGTGTTAGTGTGTGTTAATTATGTAGATTTAAATCCAGATCCTTTTTTGTAAACACCTTTCATAATCAAATGCATATTTTAAACACCCAAATCACCGTGTTCTTTGTGTGTTCTTTAATTCTGCATGTCAGATCAATGCTCATAATTCACATCAATTGGTATCAGAGCGGGTCTTCGAAGATCAACACGATTTTTTGAATAAATGATTCTCGATTTGGCTACATTCAACACAATTGGAACATTAATGGTGAGTATCTC